AAATTTGTGTCACATATTAGCAACGTACAGAAGAGATGTTCATAATGATATCGGTTCTTGAAATTTGTGTCACATCTTAGCAACGTACAGAAGAGATGTTCATAATGATAATGGTCCTTGAAAGTTGTGTCACATCTTAGCAGAAGAGATGTTAATAATAATAATGGTTATTGAAAGTTGTGTCACATCTTAACAGCATACAGAAGAGATGTTAATAATAATATTGGTTTTTGAAATTTGTGTCACATCTTAGCAGCGTACAGAAGAGATGTTAATAATAATAATCCACTTACTACATTTTAACCCAATAACAGCCGTTACCCTACTTAAATAACCTTTAATTAAACCATTCTAATCTCAACGCATTTTAAGGTTATCAATTTTAATGAAATTAGTGTTATCAAGTACGTTATGATTCATAGTCTCATATTATTTAAGTTTTTATTATTTTATTTCAAAAGAAAGGGTTAAACAATAATTATAAACTTTACATTTGCTCTCACTGGAAGTGCAAGTCACTATAGCATGGCCAAGTGGTTAGGGCGCTCGACTCAATTTCTGAGGGGTGCAGGTTCGAATCCACGTTCACCAAACATACTAGCCCTTTCAGCCGTGGGGTGTTATAATGTGACGGTGAATCCCACTGTTCGTTGGTAAAAGAGTAGTCCAAGAGTTGGCGGTGGATGATGAGGACTAGCTGCCTTCCCTCTAAGCTTACACTGCTAAATTAGGGACGGCTAGCGCAGATAGCCCTAGTGTGGCTTTGCGCGAAATTTGAAACAAACCAATAGCAACTGAACTTTAGAATTTTGTCATACAAAAAAACGACTACAGATAAAAACGTCTTTATTGCTGGCAATAAACTACATTTACATACAGTTCGTTTATCAGTAACTTGTTACAAACTCCTTAAAATGGCCTCGAAAGGAAATCGTTATAGACATTCCCGAGAAAGTCGAAGTTGGGTGGATTAAAGGTTTTATTTTTCTCAAACTACACACGATTACGAAAGTTATCGACGAATTTTAAACAATTTCATAAACTAGTTTTAGATTTGGAGCGAAATATTACGAGGGTGATGTTAGACGCTTCGAATCATAGCACGCAGTTGCCATAATAGAAAATACTAGATTTTTAATGAACAAAATGAAGCATGTGCCATCTGTTGACAGATAAAGAAATCCCTAAAATACGAATTTTTTTTTTTCTGAACTTATTACATGTTTACTACATTAAATTCACAAGTTTCACGCTTAAACTTTTGTATTATATTAGTAATTAAACACAATAAAGTGTTTGTTCTACTTTACTTTGAAATCTTTTTAAAGTATTTTATTGTAACTTTTAATATAAGAAACATATTTTGCACACATTACGTAATATTTTCGCCAAAGTAAACGTTAGCAACCGGCTTAGGATATCCAAAGTTTGGTTGTAATACAGAATATTTTTACTCAAACTTTCACAGGTGCACATAAATATATTAATTTGACTTTTTTTCTAATTTTTTTTTTCATGACGATATCAGAGATGTTGTAAGAAACGCTGGTTTAATCCAAAACGATTTTATATTTCAAATAAAAATTATATTTTAGTCTTCACTAGATGGCTCTGTTGTTATAATGGATATTTTAATAAGGAGGCAGTTTCTAATATATGAATAGTTCTTGAGTTAGATTACGAAGAACCCACGTGCATATACACATTGTTGCTTTGGCACATTAAATAGAGTAGAAAGATACATTAATTTTATTAATTTCAAATGTTTTATGTATAGCTTTGTATGTACGAATAATATTCCTTACAGATATAACATTGTTTATAGATATAATATTGTTAATGAATACTGAATGATAGCCATCTTTAAACATTTTTTGTATTTACATTTATGGCTATATTTACAATGTAAAATGGTCATTTATTATTGTGTTTTTATCGTATCTGTATATTGTAGATAGTTTTTAGCTGACATTAAACTTTTGTTAAATTTCTTAAATGACATAGAAACGCAAAAAAATCTCTGTATTTTATACATGTGTTTAAATAGCTGTAAAAATATGTTCAAGATAGGAAGATTTAGGTAACGAATTGTTATTAATTAAATATGTAGCTTTTGAAAGAGGATTTAAACCAAATATAGTAGGTAGAGGATTTAACAAAGGTTTAATGTTAGCTAAAAATACTACGTTAAGATATATTTAAGAAAAAAGAAACTTTAGGTTGACCTTATATTCCAGGATTTACAGATCAATTATTCTATTTATCCTATGTTGAGAAATACTAAGGATGAATCACTATTAGAAGATAAAACTGGGGTTTACAAAATAGAATGTGGGAATATTTATATTGGTCAAACTAAAATTAATTTAAAATATAGCTAATCGATCTTAATCAATGTTCAAAATTCGTCACAGTAGGTGATGTGTATTGTTTTCATACGTCATTTAACTCACAGTAATTCTATATATGTATAGGAATTTCATGATTATATATATATAGATCAATATTAGTACTACCTCGCTCTTGTGCATTATTCCGTCATACAAGTTGTTTAATACATTAACTGTTGGTCTAATTAATCTTTCGATTCACTACTTATAATCGAATTCACTTTCAAGGAATTCCACCTATCACTATAAATTTTGGACGAAAACTTAAAAATAAATGCTAAGAGTAGACATCATATAGTGTTGGAGTGAAATTATATGAATGGTGTACTTAAAGATCCTTTACTTATACAATAACCCAGTATTTATATAGGAAATTTAAGCATATGTATAGGTGACGACATTAATTAATTCTTATGTATTATTTATCTAAATAAGCTGTCCAGCTTTCTTAGAAATAAATTTATAGCCCAGTCTGTCATTCAAATTACCATTTCTCATAGGATTATGCTTCTTTCGGAGTACTGCAGCTCTCGTTATTAATTTCAGAGAATATGTTATATCTTTATTTCTATTTATTAAAATATATTCATAAATCATATCACCCTTACTTAGATGTTAGAAACATTTCTGTAATTCTGTTAAATTTGCTTTTGAGTTGGTATTAAAATGTTTTAGTGTTATAAAAACAACAACTGTTACAGGCCAGATTTTTGTTGGATAATTTAATAATTTTCACTATCGAAGTCCTGGTATAAATATTTCACTTTTCAATGGTACAATGACTTCTCTCCATTTTGTCACGGGAAGCTCAACCTCTGCAGTAGTAATTATCATATGTTGCCCGTGAAGCTCAACCTGTGCAGTAGTAATTATCATATGTTGCCCGTGAAGCTCAACCTGTGCAGTAGTAATTATCATATGTTGCCCGTGAAGCTCAACCTGTGCAGTAGT